GAGCGGCAGCATTGAGGCAGGAGCCCCAGACCTACTTCGCTGGGATTGAGCAGGGCTTGTTGTTGTTGTTGTTTAGTCGTTTAGTCGTGTCCGACTCTTCGTGACCCCATGGACCAGAGCACAGGCACTCCTGTCTTCCACTGCTTCCCGCAGTTTGGTCAAACTCATGCTGGTAGCTTCGAGAACACTGTCCAACCATCTCGTCCTCTGTCGTTCCCTTCTCCTTGTGCCCTCCATCTTTCCCAACATCGGGGTCTTTTCCAGGGAGTCTTCTCTTCTCATGAGGTGGCCAAAGTATTGGAGCCTCAGCTTCAGGATCTGTCCTTCCAGTGAGCACTCAGGGCTGATTTCCTTCAGAATGGAGAGGTTTGATCTTCTTGCAGTCCATGGGACTCTCAAGAGTTTCTTCCAGCAGGGCTTACTTCCAAGTAAATGCACACGTAGGATCGGGTTGTGTGTTCAGACAGGTTGGCGGAGGGGAATGTAATTTTGGGAGTGCTGTAATTACCCTGAAGTGGCCAGATGAATATTAATTCACCCTCCTGATGAGAGAGTAAAATGTAGTGGCTGTAACATATGTTATCATTTCAGTGAGAGAAGAGGACTTGGATTTTAACTGCCAAGATGCAGGCATTAATGCCCGATCCTCAGATTTATGTTGAAAGAACCCTGGCAATCATTAAACCAGATATCATCAACAAAGAAGAAGAAATAGAAGATATAATTCTCAGATCTGGATTCACCATTGTTCAGGTAACATGAAAAGAAAGACGTTTCATGTAGTCAAGTGTAAATCAAAGTGTATTTAAAATTAGCAAATCATATAATTACAAGGTCCTTGCCCTGATTTAAAATTATGCTTTTGATCTGCTAGTCATACCAAGCAGTCTCTATAATATCTATAATAAGCAAATATTTTTGTGTTCAAGTAGAACATTGTATACTTAGAATATGCTTTTGTTTATTTGTTTATTCATATTATGTATTAATATCTTGCCTTTTAGAATATAACTTTTGCAGGTGACTTATAAGCAACATCAGTGAAAATGTATTAATACAATAACAATGAAAATATCAAAAGTCAGGATCCTTCCTGTGTGGCAGTTAGTGGTAGGCAGTCCTGCCAGCTGAAGCCAGTACGGTGGTACCTTGGCTTAAGAACAGCTTAGTTTATGAACAACTTGGATTAAGAACGCTGCAAACCCAGAAGTTGGTGCTTTGGTTTGTGAACTTTGCCTTGGAAGCAGAACATGTTCTGCTTCCAGTTGAGTGTAAATTGAGTCCCCCACTGCTGTGAGAAAGCACACCTTGGTTTAAGAACACTTTGGTTTAAGAACGGACTTCCGGAATGGATTAAGTTCTTAAACCAAGGTACCACTGTACCTGGTTTCTTCAAGGCAGTGACTTAAACAAATTGTTCAGATATAAAAAACAGGTTATTGGCATTAGTTCTTTTTTTTTTAACACTGGATTTTCTGTAAAAATGATGAAACCAAATTAAATGGGTGTGTGTGCAAGATATGGGCTAGGACTTTGATACCACAGACATTGTGCAGACGCAGCAAAAAACATTCATGCACCAGCAGCACCTATCCCACAATAAGCACCTGTCATGTCTAATTAACATTCTTCTGCCGCACAGTACTCAAACTCAACATAGGTGAACACCAGTTCAGACTCATTATACACCATCATTCACACACCAGCATAACAAATATTTTTGTTGTTCAAATGTGTTGGCAGATGTTTGCTGTTGGCAAAGACTGATAAAACTTAATGCTGCTTCCATAGGGAAGTACTGTATTGCAATAACAAACTAATGTTTGAAACTGGCCACTTGATGTCGCTATTGCACAGCTTAGTCTCTTTAAGAAAAAACATGCAGTTTCAGTTTTGCAAACAAATAGTTAATCACTAAGGGACGCGGGTGGCGCTGTGGGTTAAGCCACAGAGCCTGGGACTTGCCAATCAGAAGGTCGGAGGTTCAAATCCCCGCAACTGGGTGAGCTCCCGTTGCTCAGTCCCTGCTCCTGCCAACCTAGCAGTTCAAAAGCATGTCAAAGTGCAAGTAGATAAATAGGTACCGCTCTGGCGGGAAGGTAAACGGTGTTTCCGTGCGCTGCTCTGGTTTGCCAGAAGCAGCTTAGTCATGCTGGCCACATGACCTGGAAGCTGTACGCCGGCTCCCTCGGCCAATAAAGCGAGATGAGCGCTGCAACCCCAGAGTCGGTCACGACTGGACCTAATGGTCAGGGGTCCCTTTACCTTTACCTTAGTTAATCATTGTTCTTCCCAAAATATTTCTTCTCGGTATATTTCACTTGTTATACTAGCACAAAATTTGAACAGTAATATGCTTTATTACAAAGAAAAGAAAACTTACCATGAGCCAAGAGAGCTGAGTTGAAATAATATGTTTGATTTGTAATAATGTGAATAATGTGAAATATACCAAATATAATGTGAATATTGAGAATGGATTACCTTTTCTGTAGAAAATCTGATGTTGGGAAAAGCTCCAACCACAACTGCTTACAGATCCTCCTATGATTTCAGATGAGACATAAGAAGCTGCCTTATTACAAGTTAGACCACTGGTCCACTTAGCTCAGAATTTTCAACACCGAGTGTTCTCCAGGGTTTCAGTCATGAGTGTCTTTTTTAACCCTACCTGGAGATGCCAAGGACTGAACCTTGCACTTTCACTGCGGAAAGCAGGTGCTCTACCTTTTAGAGGAAAAAGAAAGAGATCTGGGTATCATCATTCATCAACTTACTGGTGGCATCGGACTCCATATTTCCAAACAGGCTTACCAAATTGCCTCATGTTGGCCTGATTTATACCAGCACCATGTGGCTTAGCTGCTTAGAAGTGCAACTGCACAAAACTTGCTGCAGGATAGTTGTGTGAAGTAGGTCCACAAATGCTTGAAAAAGAGAATTTGTGGTGATGCGATAAAATAGGGAAATTGCCACAACCATGTAGGGAGCTGCTTCACAGAAATTCCTTTTCATGTGGAACAGCTTGTGTGGTTCAGGCCAAACATAGTAAACATGAAAGGGAACCATGCAGGGATATGGCAGGGGAGAGGTGGGAATAATCCAGTCCTGTTGCCAAGGTCACCAGCACCCCGTGATCAACATCAATAGTATTAAAGGCCCAAAACTGGATCATTGGTAATTCCTCCACTGAACTCCAGGTGGCGTCCATTGATCAAGCACAGTCTTGTCTGCATTTTTCTTTCCTCCCTTCACTTTTGAGCCTAGGGCAGGTATCAGGCTGTACTGTAGAAGTATTGGGAAAGCAGGGCCTTTTGCTGCCTGGGGTAAGGACAAGAAAGCATCTGCTCCCCATTCCATGTACTGGCAACTGACTGGATTGGCAGCTGAATCTTACTTTCACAATTGTGAAAGGATAGCATCTTCCCCAGCACTTCAGGCTAGTTTAGAGGGCCATGCAACAAGTTGCATAGCATACGCAACTCTGCCAGAGGGGAATGGCTTGGGGTGAGGGAGCTTAGGATGAACAGCCAGGAGGCCACTGCTTCCCCTTATGTTGCCTGAGGTGGTCTCCTTACTTGTAGGCCTGGCTCTGGAAAAGAGATTGCTGGAAAATAAAGACCAATGCTTGTCGCCATTCGTCTGTCTTGAGAGTGCTTCTCCAGGGCTGAAATCAAACTGCTGCGTTAGCAGCATCCAAGTGACCTTCCTGGGATGCCAGCCTGCGGAGCGTGTATGGAGGTCCTGGGCTGCCCAGACAAGACCCCCCTCTCAGCAATATGTTTGGTACCAGCTTGGCTGCAGGAATTGCTAGAAAAAGATATACAAGGCACCATCTCACCATCTTAGAGTCTCCACTCTGGATTTCTCCCAAAGATATAGCAAAAGGCAGCAGAGGTTTAGAATCAGAGTTTTCCTTTTCCTAGAAGGGCTACCTTACCAGGTAGACGAGCCTCATCTGCCCCTGACTTCCCTCTATAGCATGTGCAGAATCTGCCGCCTTTACCGTTGATCCCACCCGCTCAATCTGCCAAAGCCTGTCTTCACATGCAGGGGAAGTCCCTAAGTCACCAAGGGTTTTTTGACCCATCAGTTACTCTCACATGGTTTAGCCGGCCAATCAAAACCATTTTCCATGATGTGGCCGCAGTTGCATGCTGACAGTTTCTAGGAGCCACAGGTGAGAGCTGAGTGCAGGGTGGGGACCAAAGGTGGACAAACTACCCCAGAAGAAACATGATGTGTCCCCCATGAAAGGTACTACCCCTCCGCTAGCACCCCATAAACCCAATACTTAAGTAATAAGATATGT